GGCAGTCTGAAGAATGCTGCCGCCGCCCACTCAGAGCTTGAGGAGCAGCCTGATGGACGGCCGCAGCCGCTCCTCCGCTCTGCGCTCTTCCAGGGACCGCCCTGGCTGCTGGTCCCTGGACTCATGGGCCTTCTCGATCGCCCTGCCTGGCGCAGAGCTGTGGCCTAACCCCTCGCCACGCTGGGGCGCGTTGCGGCCTAACCCCTCGCCGCGCAGGGGTCCTCCGTGGCCTAACCCCTCGCCGCGCTGGGGGTCGATGCGGTCTAACCCCTCACCGCGCTGGGGATACTCGTGGCCTAACCCCTCGCCACGCTGGGGGCTGCTGCGGTCTAACCCCTCACCGCGCTGGGGCGCTCCGTGGCCTAACCCCTCGCCACGCAGGGGCCTGTTGCGGTCTAACCCCTCACCGCGCTGGGGTGCTCCTTGGTGGCCTAACCCCTCGCCACGCTGGGGTCTGTTGCGGTCTAACCCCTCACCGCGCTGGGGCCCATCGTGGCTTGACCCCTCGCCACACTGGGGGTCAATGCGGTCTAACCCCTCACCGCGCTGGGGAATGCCTTGGCCTAACCCTTCGCCACGCTGGGGGCTGCTGCGGTCTATCCCCTCACCGCGCTGGGGTGCTTCGTGGCCTAACCCCTCGCCACGCAGGGGCCTGTTGCGGTCTAACCCCTCACCGCGCTGGGGTCCCTTGTGGCCTAACCCCTCGCCACGCGGGGGCCTGCTGCTGTCTGTCCCCTCTCCTCTGTGGGGTCCTCCGTGGCCTAACCCCTCGCCACGCTGGGGATCGTTGCGGTCTAACCCCTCACCGCGCTGGGGTACTCCGTGGCCTAGCCTCTCGCCACGCTGGGGCCTGCTGCGGTCTAACCCCTCACCGCGCGGGGGTACGCCGCGTCTTGCACTGCCCCCATCCTCGGTGCTGCTGCCCCTTGGCTCAGGCGGGGTCCCGCGACTTTGCCACTCACTGTGTTCGCGGTTCACGTGGTATCCGCGGGCCGTGCCCTCCCCCTCGCGTTCAGACTGTCGGTTTCCCAGGGTTTGGGTCCGCTCTGTTAGTTGCGAGGTCCTGTCTACCACACTGTTGGTCAAAAGGTCCGCGTTTTGCTCATTGGGCACGTCATAGGCTTCCGCCTCAAGCCTCTGCTTGCCTTTGGTCCTGCGGCCTGCCCCCTCATCGCGCAGGGGATTTCCGTGGCCTAACCCCTCGCCGCGCAGGGGTGCCTTGCGGTCTACCCCCTCACCGCGCTGGGGTGGGTCGCCGACGATCTTATTCAAGTCCCGCTGCTGGTCTGTATCGCCGTAGTCTGCCGCCTTCTCAGGCTGCGCTGTTTTGTGGCCTAACCCCTCGCCACGCGGGGGAGCGCCGAGTCTCGTACTGTCCCCATCCTCGGTGCTGCTGCACACTGGCTCAGGCGAGGTCCCCCGACTATGCCTCTCGCTGTGTTCGCGGTTCACGTGGTATCCGCGGGCCAAGCCCTCCCCCTCGCGTTCAGTCTGTCGGTTTCCCAGGGTATGGGTCCGCTCTGTTAGTTGCGAGGTCCTGTCTACCGCGCTGTTGGTCAAGACGTCCGCGTCATGCTCACTGGGCTCGTCAGGGACCTCCGCCTCGATCCTCTGCTTGTCTTTGGATCTGCGGTCTAACCCCTCACCGCGCTGGGGTCCTCCGTGGCCTAACCCCTCGCCACGCTGGGGCCCTCTGCGGTCTGCCAGGTGGTACCCTATGCTGTGCTGTGCATCTGGGAACTGCTGGTGGTTGTCATCGCTGCATTGCTTGTCTACGACCTGCTGGGGGCTGTCCTCTCTGTTCTCCTCTTCAGGGAAGTGGTCGAGGTCTGCCATGTCCTTGGTGCTGCGTCCTGCTGGTGGGGGACGGGCGCCCCTCTGCATCCCGTCTGGCGCAGGGCTGTGGCCTAACCCCTCACCACGCTGGGGTCCTCCTCGGCCTAACCCCTCGCCGCGCAGGGGTCCTTGGTGGCCTGTCCCCTCTCCGCACAGGGGCCTCCTCGGCTGTGTGGCTGGAGCCCTGCATGGTACTCGCCCTGCTGCTTGTAGTCGCGGGCTGCGGCTCCTCACTTCTGGCTCAGTCACGCCCAGGATCTGCTCAGCCGTTGCTCTGCGCCGCTCTGCCTCCTTCGGGTCCTGCTGCTGGATCTGTCTGCGCTCCTCTCCGCTGTTGAGCCATGCCAGGCGGCAGATCTCCTCCGCCGCTCGGCGCTGGCTGCGCTGGCGGCTCGTCCCTGACACGTGGCTGAAAAGCGTCTGATAGACGCCAGTCTGCAGCGCCCTCATCAGATGGGGCACGCACGCGGCCTGCCACGATGGCCAGCCCAGCTCGCCCTCTTTCTGGCTCCAACAGCCTGCCAGCGACTGCATGAGCTGCTCGAGCCTGTTCCTCTCGAGCCACGCCACCTCCTGCTCGGGGTCCTGGTCGGCTTCTCCTTTGTTGTGTCGAAGCCTTGGGTGGAGCAAGCCGGCCTCGTCAGCTTCGCTCACGAACTTCATCAGGTCGGGCCCCACTGGCTTGGTCAGCGTTACTGCCACCTGCACTGCCGTCTGCATCAGGCTGTTGGCGTCGTGCCTCTGATCAGGTCCCGCCATGGTCTCCATCTCCTGGCTGCTCGGCTCACCCTCCAGCTCTGGGGCTTCACTGTCTGGGGTCGAGTCATCATCGTCCAGGTTCTCTGGTGACCACTCTCGGCTGGCCTCCGCTGTTCTCGGCAGCGGCCTGCGCTCACTGCTGGGGATGCTGTGCGCTATGATGTTGTTCCTTCTGTTGTGGAAGGCGTCCATGTGCACTCTAGCTGCCTGCTGCCACGTGCCATGCGGGAGGGTAAGCATCCTGGTCATGAGCCTCCGTCGCGTGCGGTGCGTGTTGCGCCAGACTTCTTCGCAGAAGTCCTTTATCTGCTGGATCTCCTGCACGGTGACGGCCCTGGTCTGCTCTTGCGTGTCCGTTCTGCCACCCACATTGGTGATGGCCAAGAGGTACGGTACGCAGTGCTCCATCCAGTCGTCCATGTCGTCCCGGACCTCTTGGTCGACCATGTTCATCCACAGCTTTGCGTAGCCCTCCATGTGGTCGACGAGCCTCAAGCTGGCGTGGACGACAGAGTACGGATGGCTGGGTGGCTGCTGCGGAGCTGGCTGCGGGTCCCCTGCCTCTGAGCTGTCCCCGTCCAGATCGATCACCTCGTGGTTGCTCAGGCCGAGCTTGAAGCCACCTGGCATGGTGATCTCGTCGAGACCCTCATCGGCTGGGTCTGCTGCTGGCTTAGCTCCTCTAGGCAGCTTGCCCCTCTGCATGTCCTCCAAGACTCGCCGCCCTGCTGCTGTTGGGGGCTGACATGGCCTTGCCAGCTTCCTTGCCACTCCTGCCACGATCCTGCTCTTGTGGTCCCCAAGGTAGCTGGTGCCGCCACATTTCTCGCACCAGAGCCAGCCATGGGTGCACTGCGTCTTGTGGGAGCCGTGCACCACCTGCGTGCCGATCTGCACCGCCTTGAAGTCGAGCCTGACGTTGCCGTGCTGGTCCTGGTGGCCGCCGTACTTCCCGAGGCATTTTCCCGTCTCTGCCAACCAGTCTCTGATGCTTTGTCCTTTGGCTGGGCCACTGCGGCACGTTGCACACCACCATCGCGGAAGTAGTTTTCGCAGGTCGTGTCCCTGCTGGGCTGCCCTGTCCCTCGCCGTCTGCGGCTTTCGCCGCTTAGCCTTGGGACGCTAAGGGGCCTTGTTGGGGTCCTCCACCATCACCGCCATGTTAATGGCCAGCAGCCTGTTCTGCACCGCCATGGTGATCTGGTCTCTGATCTGCTGCTGCACGATGATAGCTGGATCCAGTGCTCCGTGCTCCGCCCCCCAGCCTGCGTACTTATCTGCCATCTCGTTACCTATGACCCACCAGGTGGGGCCATTCCACCTCTCCAGCTCGGTTGGGTGCTCAATAAGGTGGCTCGGGATGTGGTGGCCCATGATGGTGTCCGTGCTGTTCTGTAGCTGCTGCTTCGTCTGGAGCCAGAGGTCGTAGTTCGTGCTCCTGTAGTCCAGATCCTCAGGGTCCTGGATCTGCTTGAGTGCGTCCAGGGCGTATTTGCAATCGCTGACTATGTTTAGCCCCCTGGCTGTCGCCGCCGTGGTGTACCCGATGGCTTTGCTCATGGCGGTGAGCTCTGCCCGTGGCACCGTGTGCGGTGCCCTGATTGTGCCGTACCAGGCAGCCACTTCCTGCGGACGCCCTTGTTCGTCGAACCTGAATGCCACCACTGCCCAGCCGCAGCGTCTGAGGCGGGGGTCCCTGGCCGTTTCCCCTGCACCACCTGAGCCGTCCGTAAAAACATAGTCTGCTCGCACCTTGTGCCCTGACTGGGCTGCAGCTTGTGCCTCTTCACTGGTGCAGAAGATCTGCGCCGCCTTCGCCGCGTCCTCGTCTGGGTCGACCTTGGCTGCCCAGGCCGCTGGCGGGATGCCTCGGAGCCAGAAATGCAGGTCCTGCCGCTGGTCCAGCGCGTCCTTCGCCTTCTTCGCCAGGTCGGTGTCATTGCTGTGCCCTATTTCTGCGTTGGCAGGGCAGGCGTAGTAGCGGTGTTCCTCTGTCTCTATCGCCTCGCCGCATCTCGCGCAGGTGTCATCGCCTTCTTGGTTGAGGTTGGCCGCCCTGCGACGCTCCCTGGTCCAGATGCCTGCCACCGCTATGGTCTCCAGCATTGCTGCCTCTGCATGCTGTCCTTTACGCGTCCTTCTTCTCAGGTGGCGCTGCAGCTGATAGAGGTCGCCTCCAGCCTGAAGTCCTTCTCCACTGCGATGGCCAGCTGCCTGCTGCCAGAGCTGCTGCTGCGCGCTCTGCTGGACCTCATGCAGGAGCGCGCCGAAGTGGGGAATGTCATCTGGCTTGTAGGCCCACTCGTCACGTGCTGGGCTGATCCAGCTGTCCAGGCGTCGCGGTATCCAGCCTAACCCAAGCAACTGCAATGACCCCTGCCATGGGCCCCTTGACCTGCTGCCACCTGCGGTTGGGTTCCAGGGCGCCCAGCTTGGCGTAGAGCAGGAGCCAGCCCCTCTGGTACCTCTTGAGCTCCGTCGGGTGGTCGACTACGGTGAGCCAGAACTGCTTGATCTGGTCGCCGATGGCTCGGGTTACTGCCTCTTGCATACCCCTCTGGATCAGGAGGATGGTGGACGTGCAGCGTCCAGCCTTGTGTCCGCCTGTGAGGAGCGCTGCCTCCGTTGCCCTGACCAACTTCGCCTCCGTGGGCGTGATGCCGTGCGCTGGTAAGTCCCAAGCCTGCTGGCAGTAGGCACCTGCTGCATAGACCTTTGCCGCGCCTCTGGCGTCCGTCTCCGCCAGGTCCCTGAGCTTGGCCACCCTCTGCTTGGCCTTGGCCTGGCGCGCGGCATGGGTGGGTCGCCGCAGTTGCTTCCCAAGGCTGGTGTCCACGCCGAGGTCGCGCACTACCCCTGGTTGCTTGTTGGGGGTGCCCAGGCTGTCCAGGATGCTGGCGACTTCTGCCTGGAGGTCCTTGTCCGAGGCCACCACTGCCGTCTTGACTGAGATGGGGATCGCGAGCTGCTTGAAACCATCGTGCACCAGCGCCGCCACGTGCTTGATCTGGTCAATGACCTGCCGCCGCGCGCCCTCTACCTGCAGGGCCAAGTCGTCCAGGTACTGCTGCATGACGACGAAGATATGGTGCCTGTGCGCTGCATCCAGGATTCCATACAAGAGCGGTCTGGTGAGGTCTACCGCTTGGCCACAGCCTGCTACCATGCTGTTGGCAGGCTCAAAGATGTCCGAGAAGAGGCTGTGGGCCATGATGGCCCTGGGCGCAAGGTACATCTGCACGGCCATTGCCAGCGGCAGCAACGGGTACTGGAGGGCACTGGCCTTCTCGATCAGCTGGTCGAGGCCTATGTTGTCGTAGAAGTTTGCCGCGTCGTAGAACACTCCTGCTGCATGAAAGCCCATCTCCGTGGCGGCTTCTGCCCTCATAAGTCTGTGCATTGCCACTCGTAGCGCTGAGGAGCCAGCTACTGCCGTATCCCAGAAGCCCGCCGCTGCCTTGCTCCAGGTGGCTACTATGGGCCTCCTGGCTGCGCTCCAGATGCGGTACGGCATGGGCATGAGGCCGATGGGGCGCTCTCCCCCGATTCCTGGCTTCTTACCCAGCAGCAGCTCCAGCACCAGGTAGAATTGCCACGGCCAGGCTGCCCGTTGCTCGCAGCTGGTCAGGCACTGCACGAAATCTTCCAGCCCCTGGGCTCCCATGGCCTTGAGCTCTGGAGCCCTCCACCAGTCCGCTCCTTGGCCTGCATTGCTCTTCAGGTGCTGGATGATGGAGCCTATGATGTCCTTGCTGATGGGCTCGAGGGCATTCTCTTGGGCCAGGGCAGCCTGCCTCAGCTTGGCCAGCGCCTCTTGGATCCTCTCGGCCTTCTGCGCATCTCGTGTCCACCTGCGTTGCCATGCTTCTTTGCGCAAGTCCACCAGCTGCTGCGGGTGGTTGATGACCTGACCCTCGTGCTCTAGGATGTCCTCCAGATGGCTGCGCTCCGCTGCTTTGGTGTAGGCGTGGGCCATCTTCGCACTGCCAGCCGTTGCGTCGTGCACCCAGTGTATGTACGCCTTCTTCACCGCCTTTGTGAGTAGCTTGGCCATGTTCTTTACCTCCTCTGCTACCCTGCTGATCGTCCCTGGGTCCACGAGGGCGCCCTCTGCTATGGCGTGCAGGTCTGCGAGGAGGGCCTGCTGCTGGTCCTTGGCTGCACCTTCATCGTTCAGCCTGCCTGGGTCAGGCTGGTTGAGCTGCTGCGCAAGCTGCTGTCTTGTGTTGATCTGCTGCTGCGTCTGGCGGCCACTGTGGGTGCGGACCTGCTGCGCTCGGCGGCTACTCTGGCCACTGCCTGTACCTGGAGCATCATGTGGTTGTCTTCGCGCTGCTCCTTCTGGTGCTCTTTCGCCTATGACTTCTCGCATGAACCTCCGCAGGTTTGCGAGCTCCCTCCAGTGCATCATTTCCAATTCGTGCCTCCTCGTCGGCACCTCTCGCGCAAGTCCTTGGAGAAAGCCTCGGCGTCGTGGTTCTGCATGTCTCCATGCTCGCTCGCAGAGGTCCCTGATGATGTGGCTGAGGCCGGCCTGCTGTTACCAACGTCTGAGCAGTCTCACCATGCCATTGTTGCCTCCGCCTCCCAGGATGGTCTCCAGGAGCGGCGCGCAGATCTGCATCCAGTTGCTGTTGTCCGTGGGGAGCTGCACCAAGTTATCCATCCAGATGGCCGCCCAGTACTCCAGGTCGTCTCTCATGGCCACGTAGTCTTCCCGCTCCCGCTGGTGTTGGTCGTCATTCCAGGGGTCTGTAGGGGGCAGGCCCATATCTCGTTGCTCATCTGCCTCTGGGCTTGGCGGCGCTTGGTTCTCAGGTGATCGGTACCCTCTGCCTCCAGAGTGCCAGCTGGCTGAGGAGGTGAGCAGTGCGTGTCACCTGGGGCGGTTTCACCAGATCCAGCTGCCTGACGACGTGCGGTCTGGCCGTAGCCGTTGCCATCCAGCTGCCCCTCGATACGCTGGTGGTACCCATCGCAGTCCTCCTGGTCTGCGGTCTCCTGGCGGTTCTGGAAGCGGTCCTCCTCTTCCTCGAAGGGGTCGTGGTCTTGGACGTCCATGGTGCTGCGTCCTGCTGGTGGGTGAGAATCAGGTCCAGCTGCTCGACGGCGAGCGGTCTGGCTGGACTCGAGGCTGGCCTGCTGCCCCTCGATGTGTTGGTGGTACCCATCGCTGTTTTCCTGGTCTGCGATCTCCTGGCGGTACTCCAAGTACTCCTCCTCATCCTCGAAGGGGTCGTGATCTTGGATGTCCATAGTGTTGCGCCCTGCTGGTGGGGGAAGGGCACCCTTCTGCATCCCTTCTGGGCAGCTGTCTGCGGTGCTGTGGGTTTGCCCCACGTGGAGGTCTGGGGCGCCTCCTGCTGCGCCTCCACTGCCTGCGCTCCGCTGCTGCAGCTCGGGGGGGCCCTTGCCCCGCTCGGTGGGGGAGCGTTCCACCGAGCTTCCTCCCGAGCTCTTCGGTGGGCTCAAGGCTGGTACAGGGTCGCCTTCTTCGTGGCCTTCCTGGCTGCCCGAAATGACGGGGCCAAGCTCCAACTCCAACGGGCCCTGTCCTCCTCCCGAGTCCTCATCGGGACGTGCTGGGGTCTTGCCCTGTCGACTTGCCGCTGCCTCCTGCGCTCGGGCGTCGTGGTGCGAGAGCTGCCGCACCAAGGAGGAGATCTCCGCCCACCACGCATGGATCTTCCTTTCAACCCCCTGCCCATGGCGTAGAGGTGACGGTGTCCTTGATGCTCACGCTCTTGTAGCTCGGGGGCCTGCTGTGCCCGAGATGACGTCCTCGATCTTCCTGGGATGCCGATGCTCTCGCACAGGCTGAGCTCGAGTGTGCTAGCGAAGTGATCGTACTGTTGCCCGAGATCCAGCATGTCCCGCTCCATCATCTTGCCGACGACAGTGTGCTGCAAGTGCTGGGGCAACTCGTCGTAGACACGCAAGCTGACCCTCTCGGAGGTGGCCTGCCACAGCTCGTCAGGGATGACGTGCTGGACCTCCTTGTCGTAGTACAGCTGCGGCACTGGCTCCATGTCGTTTCCTTCCTGGTCGCATCCTGCCTCTGCCAGCGCTTGCTGACGTCGGCGCATGGCCTCCTGGCCTCCTCGCGCCGCTCGCCTGCAAGCGGCTCTGGACTTCAGCATTCTCGCAACTGCGACTGGTGGCTTTATGGCTGCTGGCCTGCGAAGTACCCTGCCCTTGAGCTTTAGAGGCCGCCCTCTCAGCTTCAAGCGGATGCCAATGTGCGGCTTCCACGGCACGGTCCTGAGCAGCTCTAGCTGGTCAAAATACGGCGCCAGGCCCTGCGAGATCAGCGCGAAATCGATGCACCTGGCTTCGCCTCCTGCTGGGAAGCACGTGGTGGCGCCATCCTCCGCCGCTGCTACTTGAGCATTCAGCACCCTGGGCCAGATGCTGTGGTTGAGCTCCGACGGCGTCATGTTGAAATCCCCAAGCGCTGCCCATGGCCCTCCCCAGACGGCCATCTTTTCCCGCAGGTCGCAGAGGATGTCGACGTTCCTCTCTCCGAAGCCCGTCCCACACTCGAGGTGGACGAAGGCCACTGCGAAGCGGACCTTGTGCAGGTTGGAGATCACCACCTTGACGTCGCTGCCGTCCTCGTGCAGGTAGTGCTCGTCGAAGCCCGCGATCCTGTCCTGGACGTCCAAGGATCCTCGCGTTATGGCACGCGTTCCTCCACGAGTGCCTTCTCCTTCTCCTGGCCGTGCCTTGGTCCAGTAGCTGTGCATGCCATTCCTCCTGAGCGCCGCTCTTGCCTTGCCTATCTGCGCAGGCTGGCGGAGGTGGTGCTCCGCGATGCCGATTATGTCCCTGTCCTTGGTGTCGTTGATCTCCATGAGGTAGCCCTGTGCCTGGGGGCCCCAGGTCGTGACATTGAAGAAGTCGATGTGGTAAGGGCGGCGAGCCTTCTTCGCGCTCGCCTTGGGGCGGCTACCCTGCTGAGTGGTCACCTTGCCCTTCTGCGTCGACGACTGTCTCGGCGCGCCTGGCCTGCGAGACCTTCTCTCGCGCCTCCTGGATGTGGGCCTCCACTCTGGCTCGGCGCTCCTCTGCTTTGTCATGTTCTGCTGCACCTGCTTCTGGTTGGGCAGCTGCCGCGGCGCCGTTAGGCGCAGCCGCAGCAGCTGACCCTGCTGCCTCAGCGCCTGTGGTGGCTCCTCGCCGAGGGGCTGGGCTGGCAGCGCAGACACGCTTGCCTGGTGGGGCATCTGCTGCTTCTGGGTCTTGCTCTCCGCTCTTTGACAGGCGCTTGGTGCGGGCCTGCTCGAGCTGGCGCAGCTGCTCCTGGTGCCTGGCCGTCTCTTCCTCCAGGAGTCGCAGGTGCTTCGCCGTCTCCTCCTCGTGCTCCTTGACCGTCTGGGCCATGCGCTCGCCCTTGGCCTTTGCAGCTCGCCAGACCTCCTTGTCTGGCTCGGACCACTTGTGGAAGTCGTCAGGCTCGTGCTCGAACTGCTCCAGGAGGGCTGCCAGCGTTGGCTTCTCGGCTGCGGGTTCGGCTGGTACCTCTTGCTTGCTGACTGTGGCCTTGAGCTTGTCGAATTCATCTTCTGCTGCAATGGATGCTTCCATAGCTTCACGAAGCTTGCGTTCACTCTCAGCCAAGTACTGCTGGGCACTCTCCACTTGCTCCCCTGCCGATCGTACCTTCTTCTGGAGTTTGTCCAAGCGTCGAGCTGCTGCCTCCACTGCCTTGAATCCAACGACTGGTTGATCTGCTGGTGGCTTGGCTGCGGCGAGCTCTGGCCAGAGGGCCTCGTAGTGCTGCTTGAGCGGGTCGTCCTTGCTGAGCTTGCCGTATGCTGCTGCGGCTGCGGCCTTGAGATCGGCGGTCTTGTCGTGAGGTGGTGGCTGGCGTTGGCCTCCTTGCCCTTTCCCGCCTGCACCACCTCCTGGCTGCCAACCATCTGCCCAGCTGATCCTGGGCGAGGTTCCTCCTTGGGGCTGTGCTGCCACCCACCCACCATCCTCGTCACGGAAAACGTGTCCGTCAGGGACGAGGCAGGCGAGATTCTTGCCGCAGATGCAGAGGTCGCCCCTGCTGGTGATGTTCTTGCAGTAGCGCCATCTGCTGCACCCGTCACACACCACGTAGCTGCTGCGAGGAGGGCGACTGCCACTGCTGCTCCTCTTCCACGGGGGCACTCTCTGGCGATTCGGGGTCCCCGACCAGGCGCTGCCCGCCCCGCGTCCGCCGCCGCCACTCCCCATGGCTGCAGCAGTGCCGCGCGCGCGCCCGACGCCCGTCTGGGAACTGTCCTCGGTCCAGAGGTCTCCCTTCGGCCTGGAGGCTGGACAGCCCCCCAGGTCGCCATCTTGAGCCAAAATGGCTACGGGGGGAGGAGGAGGAGGAGGAGGAGGAGGAGGAGGAGGAGGAGGAGGAAGGAGGAGGAGGAGGAGGAGGAGGAGGAGGAGGAGGAGGAGGAGGAGGAGGAGGAGGAGGAGGAGGAGGAGGAGGAGGAGGAGGAGGAGGGGGGGAGGAGGAGGAGGGGGGGAGGAGGAGGAGGAGGAGGAGGAGGAGGAGGAGGAGGAGGAGAGGAGGAGGAGGGAGGGGGAGTAGGGGGGAGGAGGGGGAGGAGGGGGAGGAGGGGGAGGAGGAGGAGGAGGAGGAGGAGGAGGAGGAGGAGGAGGCGGAGGGAGGAGGAGGGAGGAGGAGGAGGAGGAGGAGGAGGAGGAGGAGGAGGAGGAGGTTGGAGGGGGAGGAGGCGGAGGCGGGAGGGCGGAGGAGGAGGAGGAGAGGAGGAGGGGGCGGAGGCGGAGGGAGGCGGAGGCGGAGGCGGAGGCGGAGGCGGAGGCGGAGGCGGAGGCGGAGGCGGAGGCGGAGGAGGCGGAGGAGGAGGGGGAGGAGGAGGAGGAGGAGGAGGCGGAGGAGGCGGAGGAGGAGGAGGAGGAGGAGGAGGAGGAGGAGGCGGAGGAGGAGAAGGAGGGAGGAAAACAAGCTAGGTGCGCTCGCGTCATATCTGACGTCCTACCCCTCCCTCCCATCCCTTACCATGGCGCTGATTTTCTCTATCCGCGGACGCGTGTCGTAGCGGACCTGTGGCTCCGCGCGCGCGTGCGTAGTGGGTGGTGGTGCGCGTGCGTGCGTGCGTGCGTGTGTGCGTGGTTGTGGTCGTGGTGGTGGTGGTGGTGGTGGTGGTGGTGGTGGTGGTGGTGGTGGTGGTGGTGGTGGTGGTGGTGGTGGTGGTGGTGGTTGGTGGTGCTGGTGCTGGTGATGGGGTGGTTGTGGTGGTGGTGGTGGGGTGGTGGTGCGGCGCGGTGGTGGCGGGCGGATGGGCGCGCGAGAAAAAGGCCCGCGCTGGGGCGAGAACGCCATCCTGAACGACGGAGGCCAAACACCGATCCGAAAATGAGGCCCACGCTGCAGCGGGAGCACGATTCGGAACGATTCGGGAGCAGAAATGAGGCCGGCGCCTCAACGAGAGCAGCATTTTGGGAAAAAATGACGCCGGCGCCTCAGCGAGAGTCGTTTCCCGGGATTTCCCGGGCATCCTGTGTGTAAAAAACAATACGCGGAGGATGCGCGGCTATCACCCAGACGCCAACAGGGGAAGGATTCGGGAGCAGAAATGAGGCCGGCGCCTCAACGAGAGCAGCATTTCTGGGAAAAAATGACGCCGGCGCGAGAGCAGCATTTTGGAAAAAATGACGCCGGCGCCTCAGCGAGAGTCGTTTCCCGGGATTTCCCGGGCATCCTGTGTGTAAAAAAACAGTACGCGGAGGGTGCGCGGCTATCACCTGGACGCCATCAGGGGAAGAGGGAGAGTATATTCATATTGAGTTATTGTAAAGGAGGAGGAGGAGGAGGAGGAGGAGGAGGAGGAGGAGGAGGAGGAGGAGGATGAGGAGGAGGAGGAGGAGGAGGAGGAGGAGGAGGAGGCCTCTTGATAGGTTCTTGGGGCACTCTTTGGCCTCCTGGGAGGCCTCTTGGGGGCTTCCTTGGACCCCTTGGGGGCCTTTCTTTGGAGGCTCCTTGGGAGGTTCTTTGGCCGTCTCAGGGCGTTCCTGGCCCGTCTGACGCCGTCGGAAGCCGTCTTGCGGGCCTCTCTGGCTCGACTTGGTTTTTTTTTGGGGGGGGGATCGCTCAGGGCCTTCTTGGAGACGATCTTGGGCGTTCTGGAAGTCCCTTGAGCCGTCTTGGGGCCCTCTTGGGGCCGTCTTGGGGGCCTCTTGGGCCGTCATGTGGGCCATCTCGGAGGCCTTTCTGGCGCTCTTGAGGCCATCTTGGTGGCCTCTTGGGCCGTCTTGGGCCGTCTTGGGCCGTCGGAACACCGAGAATTAGCCAACGCCCGAATCCTTGAAAATCGAAGGCACATCAATGAATTTGGCTTCTTCGGGCGTTCCTGGAGGTCCTCTTCGAGGTCTCTTGAAGGCCTCTTCGGCCGTTTTGGAGGCCTCTTGGGCCGTCTTGGCCGATCTCGAGGCCATCTTGAGCCGTTTTCGGGGCTTCTCGGCCAGTCTTTGAGACATCTTGGGGTCATCTTCAGCTCTCTTAAAGCCATCGTAGTCGTCATGGAGACTATCTTGGTTGTCTTGGAGGCCACCCTGGGGCCGTCTGGAGCGGGAAGACGGGCGACCTGGGATGTTTGTGGGTCCTTGCGGGGTGGGAAGACCCATGACCCGGGCATGTGTCGGAGCCTCCCAGTTGGCTGGCGGGTTGGGCCGAGACTCCATTGGGAACTTGTGAACATGACTGAAACCTCGCTAACGTCTGGCACGCCGTGCACCCCTGTGGCAAGACCACAGGGGCGCGCATGATTGGCCTTTGGCCTATCCCGCCATCGTGCCTGGGTTGTATTTCAGAGGCCCCTCGGGTCCTCGTGGTCCGTTTTGGGACGCTCGTGGGCGGGAAGCGCTGAGGAACCCCGGGAGGAACGCCAGAGCCCATGAACAAATTTGAAATTTTGGGTGTGGGCCTTTTCGAATTCAATCCTGATGCCTTAGCACTGAGGACTATAAGGGGCCCGAGGCATTCCAACTCGCGCCTCGCGGCGCAGTGGCGGATTGTGCATTGTTTGGGTCGAGCGCGGATAACCCAAAGTGAAAACATGATATTCCAGGGTCGCTCGAGACTAGAGGGTTTGTAGGCTCCCTTGCCCACTGTTGTTTGTGAATGTTTGTATGTCCTGAATCCTCTTCGATTGTGTCCCCTGAGGTTCTGTCGTTGGTTTCAGTTTTGAGTTATACCTGGCGCGGACATGCGCCTGCCTCTGAGCAGTGGTACGCAATGGTCGTCTGGAGTTCTAGTGCAAACGATCTGGTGATAGTCGCAGCTGTTAACAAAGCTCTGCACGTCACACTGTGACACTGCAATGCTTCACACATTCCTTGGCTTGTATCTGATGCATTTATTATTTCCTTCCTTTTGCTGGCAGACTGTCTCTCACTGAGCTTATTCTCAGGCGAGGGTGGTGTGTTTGAAGGCACACGCTCGTGGTAATGTTAACGCTCAGCATACGTCAAGGTTTTTTTTATCCGTTTCAGAGTGTGGCGTGCGCTGATGCCTACGAGGGAGTCTGTGGGTCACATTGCTTTTGCAATGCTGCGCTCGGCAGGCGTGGAACTTTTCTCGTCAGCTTTTCATATCTCTTTCTCTCTCTCTCTCTATATATATATGTTTCATGCGCCTATTCCCAGATCAGGTGTGGGCGAATGCTGGCCGTCATGGGCCCATCTGGGTCAGGGAAGACCACCTTTCTAACTTGCCTGCGGCAAGACATTTCCCACGCGGGCGACGTCCGGTTCAGTGGCGAGCGCTTCCACAGGGGCCTGCGGCGGCTGATCGGCTTCGTAGAGCAGGACCATAGCAGGAGAATTCACACTCGAGGGGAGGAGGATCGAGCAATCAGTCCCTACCTAGGCTCTGCCTAGAAGGGTTCTTACTCTCTGGGCTTGAAGGGTCCGGGCAGTGGAAAACGCCCCGGGCGGTTCCCCCAGTATCCGCCCCGCGGTTCCCCCAGTTACGTCCCCTTAGCTTAGCGTTGCTTATCTCATCTTAGCTTAGCTTATTTCATCTTAGCTTAGCTTAGCTTCATCTTAGCTCCGGTTTATCTTAGCTTAGCTTACCTTCATCTTAGCTTCGCTGAGCTTTAGCATAGCAGAGCACAGCATAGCATAGCCCAGCATAGCATAGCATAGCGCAGCATAGCATAGCATAGCATAGCATTAGCATGGGTGTAATTCCCTACCTAGGCTCTGCCTAGAGGGTTAGCTTAACTTAGCTTAGCTTAGCTTAGCTTAGCATAGCATAGTGCAGCGCTGCATTCGCATAGCATAACATAGCATAACATAGCCAATCATAGCATAGCATAGCATAGCATAGCACAGCGCAGCATACCATATCCTATTATATTATATCACAGCATACCATAGCATATCATAGCATATCATATCATAGCACAGCTTAGCTTAGCATAGCATATCATATCATAGTTTAACACACCCCATGACATATCATTGCTTATCATATCATATCATAGTATATCATAGCATGTTATATCATAGCGCAGCATATCATAGCATATCATAGCATAGCATGGCGCAGCATAGCATGACACAGCATAGCACAGCATAGCATAGCAACTAATGCTGTTTTCCTAGGGGCTCCAACTTCTAGGTAGGGTCGCACTGGGGTAATTTCAATGAAGGTTATGTTGTTTCTGCCGGTCAATGGTTGTATTCGTTTTTTTCTTTGGGGGGGGGGTCGGTTGGTCGGTTAGTTGGTTGGTTTGTTGGTTAGCTGATTGGGTGGCTGGTTGGCTGGCTGATTGGTTGGGTGGCTGGTTGGTTGGCTGGTTGGTCGGTTGGTTGGTCGGTTGGTTGGTTGGTTGGTTGGGTGGCCGGTTGGTTGGTTGCCCGTTTGCCCAGGTGGTTGGTTGGTTGGTTCTGACCTCCGTTCCCCTGCCCCTCTTCCCCCCTCTTCTTTCGAGCCGCCGTCCCTCCTCGAGGGGTGTTAGGTGCCGTATCAAATTACGGCGAACCGCTCCCGGGACCGCTGCCACACGCGTTCGCCCGCGTGCTGCGCGCCGCAGGGCCGGCCGTGCCCCGTGTGCCTGCCACGGCGTCCGGCAGGCGCCCAAGGGAGGACCCAGCCTGGCATCGCCGCTTGCGCAAGAAGCCCAGCCGAGTCGGGGTCCTTGTCCAAGTAGCAGCGGCCGCTGACTTGCTACAGAGGCATCACAGCTCCCGTGACATGCCAACGTGACCGCGCGCCCAGAGGAGGACGCCATGAACGTAATGAATGGCAACCTCCCTGGCAAGATTCCGAGTACGAGGACCTCTGGGAATGCCTGGCCTGTTCATATCACAACCCGTGGGCGTCAGCCACATGCAAGGCGTGCCACCCAGAGGCATCACCGCTAGGAGGAGGCAGGCAGAGGGACCAGCGCACGCCAGCCCGTCCAAGAGCATCGCGAAGGTCGGCATCCGGGCAGCACACCAAGCCAGCCAAACCCAACAACCGGCCTGCCTGCCTCCTCGCCTGAGCCGGCCAGCAGCCGCAGGAGATGGCGCGAACCGCCCACCGACCCCAAGCAGTCTGAAAATACCGCGAGGCCGTCAGCTCGACGATGGAGTCCCTCGAAAGGCAGATACAGTGCGCCTTCGAGCTGGACCTGGATGTCGACCAGATCGAGAATCTTCGAAAGGAGTACAGCATCGCCCTGCACCGGATGATGCATTCCAGGTCTCCGCAGGCCAAGGTGGCCAAGCAGAAGCTCGTCGTATCCAGATGCCAAATCCGCTTGACGGACTTTCAGCTTCGGCACAATCAGTTACAGGAGGGGATGGAATCTGCAGCGGACGCACTGCCAGGCACTGCAGGAGAAACTGATTTAAGCAGAGCAGTTTTTGGAGTACAGTGACGAGTTGAAGGAGGATGATCAGACCTTAGTCGGAGTTTGTTATGCCGAGCATGTGATGCTGATCACGAGCTCGTGGCAGATGGAGAGTGCACCCTCGTGCGTTTTCGCCCAGGCCGCCGAGCTTCACCGGGGGCGTCGCCTAGCACACCCTCAGGAGCGATCTCCGCGACCAGTGCGCTGGCGCGAGCAGCCGAGCCGCCGTGGGTCACAGTTGCTCGAGACCAAGCTCGCCCAGGTGCAGTCGGACAAGTGGCCGCTCCATTGCGACCGCCCACAGCGCCTTCTCAGCAGGTCATTCCTGCTGGGGCGTCTACTGCGCCAGCGGCCTCGGACGTATCCATGCCAGTTGTGCTAGCTGCACTCCAGCTGTCCAATGTCCGGCTCCTCCTCAACATGAAGAGCATCCAGTCCACGGTCAGCGCGCTCCACAGCGACATCGCCCACGTGCGCTCAGAGCAGCAAGATGACCTGCTGAAGCTCAAGGAGGTTGCCGTCGAGGCGGCTCGGCAGGCCGTCGCCGCGCCCGAGAAGGAGAAGGATAATCGAGGTATTCTACTAGTCGACGCCCAATGAGCTGGATGTGAGCGCGGGGCCGCTGCGCTACAGGGCCGCCGACCGGCGCGTGCAGCATCGCCAGGGCGGCGCCATGGAGACGCTTGCCAGGCTGGAGCCGAGGCCCAGTTCGCGGATCGAGGCGGTGCGGGTGTCATCTGGGGCGGCGCTGCTGCAGTCGCCGGTCGCGAAGCCCAGGGTGCCGCCGATGCCCGGGCGCTGAGGGCGTCGCTGCAGGCGGCGACAGTAACGCAGAGGCGCCGTCGCGGGCGCGTTATTGGAATTCATCGACGGTCAATGCGTTTGCAGAGCTCGTTCCTTTCTCCGCAGGCGCCGAGGTCGAACGCGTCAGGATCTACGCAGGTGCCACCCCAGGAGGTTCCAAGTCTGAAGGAGCACGTGGCCATCCAGCGTGGGCTTTCTGCGCGCTCGCTGCCGCCGCTCTGGGGGTCGCTCTCGTCGGACGCGTTGCAGGGCCCCTTGCGGGGCGCTTTTGATCCGCGCGCCCCGTTGAGAGCAGAGCTTGAGGCGGTCGTTCGGGCCTCGGCTTGGCACCTGCAGGCGCCTGCTCGCGTGCGCCAAGCCCCGGTGTGTTATTGCGCGGGCAGCGCGGATGTGCTGCGTGTTCGTGCGCGGGGGGAGGGGGGGGCGCGCGCGGTGTGCTCGTTCCTGTCGAACGTTTGTTAGAGGGGCTTGCGCCGATTGTCTGCCCGCGAGCGAATGCCGTTGCGCGCGGGCGCATGCGTGGACATATCGCGCGCGCGCAACGAATGTTTCATTGCGCTGTCTGGCTGAGTGCCATGTGCCCCCCCCCCCCGCGAATTTGTCGAGCCTGCCTGGCGGTCCTTGTGTTGGCAGGGTTCGCGTGGTAAATCTATCCATTGGTTGTGGTGATCATATGCTGCCCGAGCTACTCGGGAGGCGCGCCCGCCCGGCCGCGGGTCTTGGCCCCTCCGCGCTCAAGGCTCCTGCGGCGGGTGCCCCAGAGGCCCCGCCCCTGCCTGCGAGCTCCCTCGAAGCCAAACTTGTTCATGTAGCGGGCTGGCTCGCCATTGCCCGCGTTCCCCCTTGGGCCCGCGCGCCTTCAATCTCAAGAGCCCCCAAGGGGCGCCTCGGAGGTTTCGGGGTGTCGACGCCGCGGGGCACGCGATGCAGCTAGTTGGCCAGTCTGTCCAGAAGCAGCATTTCATGGCGGGCCTCGTCGAGGCGCGACTCCGGAGCGCGGGTGCGTCCGACATGGGCGCCCGTTTCTCGCCGCGCGCGCGGGCGCTCGACTCGGGGGGAGAAGGCCGCGCTCCATGGGTGCGCGCCCAGTGGGGGCCAGCCAGGTTGCGCAGTGCAGCCCTCTCGGTGTCAGGTCGTGCACGCAGCTCCCGCGGTGGCGACCGTGGCCGCGCGGGCCCTCGCGCTCGCGCCGACCCCCAGCGGCCGCGCAGAAGTTGTCGGCCGACTTGGAGCAGCTTGTGCTGCAGCGCATGAAGGGCGCCGAGCATGTGGTCACCTAGGTTGATGCGAGTGCCGCGGCAGGTGCATCTGCAGGTGCGCGCGCGGGGCCCGTGCGCCCAGGAACAGAACGCGTCCCGGGTGTGCTCTTCCTTCCCAATGGCCCCCCTCTACCTTTTACGGAGGCCCCGCAGGCTCCGCTGGCATTTGGGCGGCTCCAGGGGCTCGTTAGGCGCTCGGGGGGCGAGGCTGCGAGGCTGCGTCGCCATGTCTCCTGGCGCGCGTGTACCTGCGCAGGAGGTGGATCACGACGTCAACCTCGCAGTGCCCCGGCAGCCAGATCACAGCGTGGCTGCCGCATGTTCTCATTTTCCGCCCTCGAGTTTTGCGCCGGCTGCCGCCGCGCCCCTACTTGGTGCGACGCGATTCGTAGCTGTGCAAGGATCCTGCTTCGGCGCAGCTTTTCCGACGCCAGCTGACGCGATTCCGACCCCCCCATTCGAGGCGCGCAGTGCCGATTGCGTGCGCGAGTGCGAGGGGCATGCGAGGCAGGCCGTGGAGCTTGCCTTTCCCATGCGAGCCGCGGCGAGAGATCGACGACCCTGGCAATCCTGGATCAGTGGTGCTACGGGACTTCAGGATGAAAGAAGTATCTACCTACGCCTGGCCCGAAGGGTGGGCCACTTTTTTTGAAGATTATGCTGCGAGCTCTCTTCTTTCCTTGGTGATGGCATATCGCGGCAGCGCTGAGGTCGCCGCTCGTGACGGGTGACTTTGTTCTGCTTGCCACTGGCCGCATTTTTTGCTTGCCCGACGTAGTCAGTGCCAATCTATGATGCGAGTATACGGTGAGCAATCTATGTTGTGCAACTCACTTGCCGAACTTGAAGTTGTCAACTCCACTGCTCGCCCAAACATCCCACCCGCCCGCCCGCAACTTCG